GGCATACCTCAGACTTTCCTTCCTGTTTCCTATTCTTAAGAATTGCTTTTCCGATGAGGCTTCAGTGAACAGTAAATGATCAACTGAAGGATCAGATCTCTCAGGTCTCAGGTCTTTGCTGTATTTTTTCCAATTCCTTAAATACATGACTTTTAGGTACTGTTCACTTGTTCAGTGTCCTCAGATTTTCTTTTTTTTTTTTATGGACATACTGCACACCATGCTGAGATGTGTTTTCAGCTCTTTGGGAATCATCTTGTTAGTGAACTCTGTTTTATGCCTCCAAAACTGCAACATTTTCAGTCAAAGAGATGTGAACAAATGACGTGTTTTTGTAACAGACTGCTAGTAACAAAATGCCTAAAGATAACATTTACAATTGGTTCTTTGCTAAGTTGTGGGTTATATGTACACACAACATTGGTGCCTTAAGTTTTGTGCTTTTTTTATGCTTAAACAATTCAGCACGTCATTGTTAAGTAACTTAGCAAACCAAAGAGAAACCTTAAAATGGTCAGGTACAAGGATAGACAACAGCACTTTAAGATAAGGCACAATAAAAAAAGTCTGACTCCTTGGAATCCAAATATGAAGAAATGTGAGGTGACTCAAGAGTTTTGCACGGTACGGTATGAGGTGAAAATGAACACAAGCGTCGTTTTGTTCTCTCCTAACAGACGGGCCATGTTTGATCGGCCAGAGGACCCAGACTACCGTCCCCTCCTGGAGGAGCAGCAGCAGGGTGGAGCCCTGCAGCCGAATGGGGAGCAACACAACTGAGAGCCCAGAGAGCTGTGAAAAGTCAGACACAGACCGCCACAGGACTGTAAAGCTGTATAGACTGAATATTTAGCTTTGTTCAGCGTATTGTAACCACAGAGCTTTCATTTGCCTTAACAAGAAAAAAGGACCAGAAATGGAAGAACAAGCTGAAAACTTTTCACTATGGATGGACATGGAGGGTCCAGTTTGCTACACCAACAGCTTTACTCTGTACATGTGCAGGTTTTATACTTCACAGCAAACTGGTTGAGTGAGATGATGTGGATGACGAGCTCAGTCAGAGGGACGCTGTAATAAGGTCAACAGTAAGGAGACATTGGTTTGATGCCACGATTGTTTGGACTTTTTCTTACACTGATGGCAACATACCGCGTTGTCATCAGTTAATATTTCACCTCAGTCTGCTCCACACATGATGCAGGAAAAGGAGAAATGAGCACAAATATAAAACAAGAGCACCCAGAGTGCAACTCCCCCCGAAGGGCGAGGGATATACTGAAACATTGTTTCATGAAGTTTTTATTCCAACATGCTGATGTCAGCCTGTTTTTCTTGCAGTATCATGGCATCAGCCTGTTGTAGCATCGTTGTGACGTTGCAAGCGTCATGTTGAAAAAATAAAAAGCCTGTTGCACAGCTCTCTCCGTGCCCTTTCATATGATATGATATATGATGTATTACTCGATATGGTTTCTCCTCAGCTCGCATTGTTATTGGTATCTACCATCACACAAAATTTGAAAATTATATGATGAACACATGGAACCGATTACATAAATAAAATAAAAAAGCAGGAAAAACTCTGTTACAATACTGCAAATAAATTAGGAGAATGCCAATAATTCTTTTTAAAGTTTGTTTTTGTTATTTTACCAATAAATACCAATTCAGTGAATTTCTGATCTTGGTTTTCTTCTTTTTATAGTTGGGAAAGCTGATTTTGAGTCCAGCGTACTCCGCAAACACGTTTAATGACAACATCTCTTACCGATGTCCAGTCTTTATTGGAAAAAAGGCTCCAAAACAAAACTTGCACTGGTGCCTACATGCAAGCTTAATGTCCTAAACATCACCTGAGCTGATTTCTAGGAGGAGAAAATGGATGGTCGAGAATTGTTAAATAATCTTTTGAGCTAAACAAAAATGAAAACACTGTTGATCAAGAGAAAAACGATCTAGATCAGGGGTGTCGCACGCACTTAGGCCACATACAGCCTCATTCCTTTTTAAGGCCAGGTAAAACAAATGCATACGAGGAAAAGCTGTAAAACTTTAAATAAAGCCAGAAGTTAAAAATCTATGCACTCTTTCATATTTTCCAAAGCCGCTCAGTGGGCCGGACTGGCGTCTTTGACAGTTAGATTCTGTTCCCCAGTCCTTATGTTTGACACCCCTTTAGCAGGCTGGTTCTGGCCCCTGTCAAATCTGTAATTTGAACTGTGGAGCATCTTGATTTTGACCTCCTGCTTTCGTTTTATTAAGCAGATGTGTAATCTCAGGTGAGGACGAAGTGAAAGGAGCAGGACTGACCCGTAACTGTGCTCTGCTTTTCTGCTGCTGCCTGACTGAACTGCCGACGGCCCTGCACACGCTGCACTTTCACCCACCGCCTTTGTGACTCAAACACTGGGAACAAAATGGAAACTGCTTAGCACAACAACACAGCAACCAGCCTCAGTGGGACCCCGACAACAAAACAAGCACTTCATCATCTTGTGCAACAGTGCTGCTCGTAAGCATCAAGTCAGGGGTCAGACTGTTTTTTGGTTTGTTTCCACATGAAAGGACATTTGGGGAATAATTCAGAAATCTCCAAATTATTTTTTTTTAAATTGAATTTTATGGGGGATTTATGGATAGAAACTCCAAACATTAAGTGTTACATAGATAATCTTCTATGTTATGCAGCCGTCCTGGCTGGACAAGACCACGACCATCTAGGAGGCCTCCAGGAGAGCCCTTAAAACCATTACTGGAAAACATTTAAGCTACAGTCAATTTGAACTGGTTGATAGGGAATTTTTTAGGAATTCTTTTTTTTTTGGGGGGGGGGGGGAGACTGGCACCATTTGGCTCCTTTTACCCTGAAACTCTCCAACAGAGAGCATGCAGGACCCACAGAGCCACAATAAAGACATAAATGAGAAGCATGTTGACTTTTTAAACAAGCTGTAATGATCCTTTAAATGATCGCTCGCTCCATCTTTTTAAGGAGACTCAATTAAAGCCGATGCCTGGGAAATTTCAGCTTTATATAAACCTACAACAAAATAACTTGATTTAATAGCAATAACAGCAGCAAACTCACTGATAAACTAAAGAGAATACCAAGTGCTTTATTGTTTTTTGTCTTTTTTATTACTATTTTTTAAGAATTATTAAAATGTACAAAAAAAGACAACAAACACAACATAATATATTATCTGAGACTGGTGTGTGTGTTTCCCTCCCTCTGTGGTCAGGTAAAGACAGTCAGTGGTCAAAGTGAGAGAGCAGCTTCTCCACGCTGAGTGTCAAAGGGAAACACAAAGGAGGCGAATTTCCTACCAGGGTCTTTGCCAAACTGAACAGAATTATCAATATTAATCATAAAAAATAACAACAACATGGGGAACAGCTGACGGAGGTCCGGGCAGAGCAGGAAAACCCTCCATCCTGTGACGGAGGAGCTTCTTCACGGCCGATGTTGCAAACCGAGATGATGTCATACTGCGATGGTATGAGCGCTGTTCCAGTAGGGGGCACCAGTGCTGCTTTGTTTACCACGCAGGAGCAGTGTTCGCGAGTCGCCTCATTCGCCTGTGCAGCAAAGAAGAACAGAGCATCAGTGGAGGCATCCAAAAAGGTTTTTTTGTTTAATCCACACTTCTTTTTCTCAAAACAGAGAAATAAAATATTCACATTTAGAATAGTTTGGCTGAAATTCAACCATCGGTGAAAAGTTTTTCAAGCAAGACACTCGAAGGCAAACGTGAGGGTTAAAGCGACCTTGTATTCATGTAAGAAACCACCATTAAAAGCTGGGACCGTTAACGGCTGCAAGATATTCTTGTAAAAAATAAATAAATAAATAAATACTAGCATTTAACCTTTGCTTAGTTTTAATGGAAAAACTACGCTCAACATCAGGACTTCTGATTCCTCTCTGGATCATTTGGTGTTTTTTTCAGGCTGATGCTGGCCAACGTCAGCCTGCATGATAACAGGGACAGAATCCAAACTATCGGATGTAGTGATGTCTCGTTTTCAGTTGATGAGGTTGGATCATTCATCCACGTTCTGGAGTTTATTTGATTCAGTTCATCAGCCGACTCCTTTTTTTCCTCTCTCCAGCTAATCAAATAATGATTTAAAATAACAGGCCACACCCACCTTGTGTTTCTGTCCTGGTCTCTGATCTTCTTCTCCATCTCTGCGTCTGTCAGCGTCTCCAGCAGGGGGCACCACTGGTCAGCATCACCTGTGTTTCTGATTGCTATCTCCACTGTGGGCAGAGGGTTTTCACTGCAAAAGAAAAAACAGAGACTTTAATTCAGTTTCCGTTACTACAACGACCGCTTCCTGCTGCAGCTCACACTGTGATGTCATTGAGTTTAAATGTTTTCCAGTCATGAGGTTCAAAGACGAGTACTGGACACAGTTTCCGTTACACCAACTAAATACAGTTTTCTGCAGCTACCATGTTTGTCATGTTTTTGATCATGAAACAAATAACATTCCTGACTTTGCAGATATTTTAAAAACATCACAAGAAGTCAAAAACTGATGTAGAAACAAGCGTGAGAAGATGAGGCACCGAAACGGCCTGAACTCATGTTTTTGTAACTGTTGACCGCCGTCGTGAGCAAATGCTGGCAGAAGCAGCTCGTTACCACACTCCCTGATGCTGAACTCTGTTCAGTGTGACTCTTCTTTGCACTGTTTGCAGTGAAAACACTTCATCAATCACTCTTCGTTGCCATGAAAGAAGCAGCAAAACAAACGGTCCTAAAGCTGAAGTCCAGCTGTGACAGAGATCAGCGCTGCCGTCTGGGTTTCAAACATTTCATCACTTCTCGTCTGACAGCAGCAGACAGGCGGCGACATTTCAACCGAGGGCAGAGGAAACGCCCCCACCCAAAGAGACCCGAATCCAAAACCCTTCCACTTCTGACCGGTCAAAGGTCGCAGCCAGATGGCCACTGCACCAACAGCAAACACACACCCAAAAATGTCAACACTATCTGCTGCTCGGGGTTTCTGCAAGTTCAGAGTTTAATTAAAGACTTTCAAATATCAGAAAATAAATGTAATACTTGTAAAGATGACAACTCATGAAATCACCCAAACTCATCCAGTAAGTGCACATCGTTGCTGTGCAGGGTTCCTAGCATTCAACTGCACGAAATAACACTGTTGAAAGGGTACGCATACATTTTGGCCACGAGCTGCAGGCAGCCTGGATACCACATTATCAAGGAAGTCCTCAATTTCACGTGTCAGTGTTTGGGGAATTTTGTTCACTGCTCCTCTGGATTTAAGGAAACTGTCAGGAGGTCATAAAATGACACTACAGCCTATAACATAGTATAACATCATGTTATTGTTTTTCCCATAAATTGTATTAAATAACATACCAATTACATTTTGAAGGAAAGGTGCCGTTTTATCAGCTCACTATAGTCTTTTCAGCTTTATATTATGTTTTCTGCACATTTCCACCTCTATATTTTTTATCCTTTGACTTTACTACAGCAGCTTTGCATGAGTCACATACTGACTCAGTCTGAAGCCTCACAGGAGATACTTATACATACCTCAAGGTTCTGTAAGTAATTAATACGTAAAGAAAGGCATATCCTTATCTCCTGAACTGGATTGAAATCATCTTTAAATCCAAGTCGGGTGAATTGGCGTTTACAACATTTAGCTTTCAATGAAGGCTCTGTGATGAAACGCCACACATCCTCAGCTCATGGATGTGTAATGTTCAGCAGAATACAATCATTTTATCAAACTATTAGACAGATATTTATTAAATACCAAAACTAGTTATTTCTCCAACAAATCTTCTGTTGCTTTCTCGCCTTGCTTAGACTGCCTCTGTGATCCCGTACCTGAAGGCGTACGTCCTCTGGTGCCAGCTCAGCTGACCGCGGATGCTGTAGGCGATGGTAGTGACAAACTCCCCGCCGAGGCCGAGCTCAGAGCAAAGCTTCAGGGCAAACTTCTCTGGAGAGTTCTCCCTCTCAGACATGTCCCACTCAAACTGGTCCACCAGAGAGATGTTCCCAACGTGGATGTTTAGCTGGAACAAGAAGAGAAGAAGACTGGGTAAACTTTTCTGTGCTACAGGTATGAACACGTCCGTTTACGTGGAGTGAGCATCACCTTGATGATCACCCTCTGGTCCGTCTGGTCCTCCAGGAGGCTGTCTGTCGGATAAGACTCGATCTGCTGTCGGATGGCGGAGGCGATGGCCGGGACGAAGGCCAGCGGGTTGAGGTCCAAGTCGTCACACAGGATCTCAGCGAACATCTCGGGTGAAATGAGCTTCTCTGTAAATTCCAGGAAAGGAGAACAAGTTTATAGTCTCGTGCTGACTTACTAAATTTCCAAGCTAAGAGGATGTGGTGACGTTACCGTTCATATTCCAGGTGAACGCATCCCTGAGCTTCTGCCCCTCAATCTCCATGTCCAGGCGGATTGGAACGAGGACTTCGGACTGAGTGGCATTTTCATGGATC